AAAAGCACGATCCTTTGAAAAGCAAAAGTTTTGCCTCCTGAGGAAGGAAACTAAATTCTTTCTCTGACTCAGGAGAGAAAAGCAGAAGAGAAGCAAGGCAGTCATCACTGGCTTCAGATGCAGGGGAGGAAAGATAAGTCAGCCCCTGTTGGCTGACCTTGATTTTTACTAGTTACACCTTGGTGCAAGCCACGGCATTAGGTCATTAGTTATTAGACATTTGAAAATTCACCACCTGTGTAGATGGTGTGGTCTGAATTGCAAGGCCTGCACCTGCCACGTGAACTGAGGACTTGTCATGCGTGCTCACCTTTAACCTGTTCGCAGCCCTTGTTCATGTAACAAGAGAGATGGGGAGGTGTCTGTGGTAGTTTCTTGATAGGAACATCATTTTTGAATAGTTTTTTCTGGTTTGTGACTGACAATAAAGCCCTTCATTCATTTCCTGGTCCCCATTTTTCTTCCACATTCCATGGTCATTTTGGATCTGCATAATTTAAAGCCAAAAGGAGTTAATGTCCTTCCGAGGGATTTCATGTAAACTTAGTAGATAGTATTCTTAAAGAAGTTCCCACCCAGAGAAATGAGCCCTGTATTTCACAGGTAAACCAAGAGAGAGCCCCATACTGCGTCTATGGTTGCCTAGACATAGCTCACTCATCATCCCATCACTTCTCGGGGGCACCCTCCCTGAGATATGTGTTATTTTTCATAGCCTCCACAGCTGGGAATTCAAGATGCTATACTTAGGCAGAAGTCCATGAAGGAATTAATTGATATGAGCCAGAAGTTGATTGCCATTTAAGTACTCAGCCTACGCCATTGCCAAGTTTCCCTCTTTGCAGAAAGCTTGCCTGCAAACTGGCTCATTTAGGACGTGAACACAAGATGGAATTCAACCTTTAATATGTCGCAACACCTGCTTGGAAATAAAGGGGCTCTGTGCCTTTTCCCCCAAGGAGTTGACAGCTGACTTCATTACAGAGGAATCTGGCAGAGATGGTGTAGGCTACTCCACAGTCTCAGGAGGCTCCCACCCAGGAAGGTGGTGCCAACCAGACCTAAGCTTTGGGACTCTGCCAGAGACTCCTGCTGGGCCATTTTACCCCAATCATTCCTCTTCCTTGAACTCTAGTTTTCACTACCTTTGGTGCAAGCTTCTTCCTCGAGAGGGAGGTGGTGAGAGGCTCTGGCCGCTGAAGCTAAATGGAGAAGCATTTGCAGGTGTTCTGTAATGGGATCTGGATACTAAACTTCCTTTCTAAAGGGTTCTGCAATGCTGCACCCAAGGGGCACAAGCAGACACAAAGTCAAGGCTGCCCTGCTTTGTGGAGTGGAAGTGGAGGGCATACTGGAGTCCTTGTCCAAGTTTTAGAACAGACTCAGAGCTGCTTAAGAAGCCTTGTTCAGCCCATGGGGCCCCTAATAGGTCTCTGGAACCATGATCTTCCATTTAGACTGACATACTGGTTACCTTTATGAATTTTCAAGGTAGCATTTTAACTTTATCATCTGTTTGCATGATTTCAAAGGCATATTAATCTGGCCTCCAATAGCAACCTAGAATATAGAAGATCTGATCTGCATCAGAGAATATTAAGTTTCTATTATTTGTTATCCTTCACCACTTAAAATAATCTCTCTGAAATGTCAATGTCCAGGTTATATAAAACATATCAATCTGGAGGATTACTGTTCAGCCCTAAGCAAAATAAATATAAAGGCCACAGGGCAACATCAAAGTGCATGTAATGTGAATAAAAAACAAGGTACAATTGAAACTTTAATATGCCAAAATCATACCATTATTTAAAAATGTCAACTAAAAAGGGTTGGGATGAGAATTAGAAAAAAATAATAGTTGATGCCAGAGGTCAAAACTGGCAATCCAAGAGTCAGGCCTGGCCTGAAAGTGTATCTCATATGGTCCACACAGTAGGGGTCAGCAGAGTTTGAATTACAAATAATGGAATAGGTTGCCAACATTTGGAAATTGGAACATAGCACATAAGTACCTGGGTTGCTGGCTCCTCCTGAGACCTAGGCAATCTGGTGCCAGGAGCCTGCTCTCCCCACAGGCCCCAGTTGGGGCTGGTGAGGTGGGAGGACTCTCCAGGCTGCCAGAGATACCACCTGGCCAGATTTCTACCAGCTGAGTTAGTAATCCCTGGACCAGGTGTAAGGGTGGTGGGTTTCTGGGACATTTCCCCTTTATTCCCTCTTCCCATACCTGCTTTTGGTTAGAGTTTTAAAAAAATCAGTAAATGCCCATTTGAACGTGAGTTGAGAAAAGGATGCCTAAGGCCCACCCTACTTTTCTACAACTTGTATATTATTGTGAAAGTTCTAGCCTTGAGTCCAATACAGTCCCCTGAGGATAGGAGCTTGGCTCATGGGTCTCATGTTTGGCTACCTTGGAGTCACCTGGGAAGCTTTTGGTGCTCAGCTTACACTCTAGGCCAATTAAGCCAGAGGCTCTGAGTGGGATTCAGGCAATGGGATTTTTTAAAAAGTTCTGGTGATTCCAATATAAAGAGGCATTAGACCCTCAAACACATATAATGCCTTCCATCAGAGCAGTCTGAAATCTTGGTACTATTGACAGTGGGGTCAGATAGTTCTGTCTTGAGACTGTCTTGTATACTGAAGGAAGTTTAGCAGCATTCCCGGCTTCTACTCATAGATGCAGTTGCATTAAGTCATAAAATTGTGGTTAGAAATGGTGACCCTTATATTGGCCACCTACTCGGATGTGAAGCCCTTGAGAAATTGCTTTTAGAATTAAGTACTAGGAAAACATTTTCTCTTGAGAAATGGATATATTCCTTCCTTTCTTGTTATTTTCCCCTTATTTACTACCAGAAAATGCTAAGCCAATGCTAAAATGTACTCAAAACCCAAACTGAAGCATAAACATAACTACTTTGGTGAATTTTCTCCCCTCTGACTTTCCATGATGCTGGCTTTCCTATTAATGTTTTGTTAATCTTTGAATTGTCCTATATTCTTAGGGAATGAGGGAGACTATAAATATAAACAAGGTAACCAGTCAAAGGTAGAAATGGCTGTTCTAAGCACTGTTCAGCACTTACGATCAAAAGAATGACTGGTTACCAGGAGGAAGGATCTGTGATCAGGAGGTACCTCCTAGCCCGTGGAGGATCGGCTAACTACATGGTCGACATCTTCAGCCTCCCAGCTTTATCTGAAAAGAGGCTGAATGGTGGCTGTGTTGAGGCAGCCTGAAGGTCAGCGATGTGAACCCTCTCAGAATGGTGAGCTCTGCCTCTTCTGCTTCCTAAGAGTTTTAGTATTTACCGCAAGTCTAGGACGTCTCTGAGAGGCAACTTGGAACCAATCCCTAAGATAACACCACCACCTGCTTTCCGTAAAGGCAGAGCAGCTTATGTTTAGTGAAATATAGCCCACTCATTAATAACCAGAAGTTTTAAAGCTTTTAAAAAATCATTATTAAGTGTGGCTATTTCATTTGAAATGCAAAGTCCTGAATAGACTAGAGATCTTAATTTTTTTAAATATAGCTGAGTATTTTAATTATGGATGTACTTGCATATTCTCAGCATACTTCATTATTTATGTAGCTGGTGAAAAAGCTTTTTAATTAAATAGCATGCTGGCAATCCATTGTGAAATGTATACATGTAGGTTTTCCCAGGATTAAAAAGCTCTACACACACACACACACACACACACACACACGCACACACGTGAAACTTTTTGGCAGGTGTATATGCTTTAGTCACTACACAGTACTTGTTTCTGAATGACCTTAAAATTTGACCAAACTTATTAAATACTGGGAAACCAAATAAGTAGTGAAATGTTCCAGCACTTTGCTTGGTTATTTATATTTAATGCACTAGATGAACTTGGAAATGAGGAAGAGAACTGGTTTTCAAAGTGCGGTCTGCTGACCAGCCGCATCACATTACCTGGCAGCTTCTCAGGAAGGCACGCTGTCGAGCTCACTGGATCAGCAACTCTGAGAATTTGGTCCAGCACCCAAGATGTTAGCAAGCAGGGGCTCCTCATGCTCTCTGTGGTCTGAGAACTTGGAGTGAAGACTGCGCCTTGTGGCGCTAGCAACTTAGCTATCATGGACAGGTCCTCCAGTGACAATGGTCACAAAACAATCAACCCCACTATAGTTTGCCCACCACAAAGGTGCTGTGAGGATTCTTGCTTCAGGATCTGTTTGAGATCTTCAGAGTTAAAAAGGGGTCAAAAGTCTCATAGTGAGGTCAATATTTAAGCACAATTTGGATATCAGGTCTCTACTTACCAACTTTGACTAATCTTGAGTATCAGGGTCAATTTACACATTGCTATCCTTCTCTTTCAAAGAAATACAGCAAAACTCTGAAATCAGAGTGCTACATACTCACTATCTCACTGAGGCAGGCTGTGGTGAGTCATCTTCCACAACCACCCTGGCTCCTGTGAAGGCTGATGACCAAGTTCTGTTACCTTCCCTGGCCGGGTGAGCGGAAGCCAAGACGTGAAGCAATTTGGAGAAGACTCCATTGGGAGTCAGTGCCAGAACCAAAACTAACAACCATCTGACTCCCCGCTCTGTGCTTTGTCTTCTGAACAATGCTGCTCCTTAAGTACACATAAGCCAAACTGCCTCTCAAATTGCAGCCATCTACTTGGAGTTCAGATTTGCACAGCATGACATGAATTGGGCTGCAAATTATGCAGAAAACAGCCATCACATCCATCTGTGATGTCAGAATCCTCAAGTACAATGTGACCTGTTAGTATCTCTGAGAGTGGAAGTGGACTGGGTCTGATTCCTTCCCTCTACAGCATGATGAATGTCCTTCCAGCTGCATTTGGCCCAGTGTAAAAAGGTTAAATATGACTGAGGTTATGCCTGGGATATACTCAAAAGCAGATTTCATATCCAAGGGTGCAGGCAATTAGATTTTTTAATGATAAGATTAACTAGAAAAAGAAAACACACAAATACTCTCATACCTAATGGTAAACTGAATTTATTTCCTCTTGGAAAACAATTCCAGTAATCTCCAGGTTCAGACCGCAGAGTAAACATTAATAACAGTAACATACAGGTTAGTTCAACTGATTCAAGAATTTGGCTGTGTGAAATCATTAAGGAAAACCTTGAACACTCAAAGCTTCAAATGTATTCGGGAAAAAAAATCTTTGACAGTCTACATAACAACTATTGCATATATAGTGATGCTACCTGTCACATTGCAAGGCTTACAAATATATATATGGGCCTTATCCAGCTGTGGGGTTCTGTTCTGTGAGAACATCTCTTCGTGGTTTGCAAGAATCTTTGACAATAAAAAATAAACTTGGATTTTAACTGTTGATATACCAAAAGAGAAATTCTAGGCTTAAATGTAAATAAAAGGAAGTCCAAACCATAGTTGTTTTAATCTGTCTTCCTTGAAAATACTTTGTCTTAAGCCATTTTGCTCACTGTTTCTCTTTTTTTAATCTTGTCTGAATAGGGCCCAAGTCCACTTGTCTTTATAAGACCATTTTAGTATCAGACGACATAATGCATGTGCAACACTTTATATACAAGGAGTCTATCTGGTGCTCAAAAGTTCAAACACATGAACATCCAACAGTTTTGATAATACAAGTTTTATGGTACAATACAATGTTTCTGAATAATATACATTAACAATGAAAGTTTCGTGCAAAGAGTAAAACATGTTCCCTTTTTGTGCCACAAAAGTCCTCCTTGAGAGATGGTACTTGAACTAACTGCTGTGTTGGGTCATCGTATGATTCTGTAAAGAAAAAAGAAAGAAGAGGGGAGAACTTTAAGTGATTTTATTTTCATCAGAGCTAGTGAGAAATGCTGAGGGGTTTATACTGACATGAAAACTGTTTCTGCACACTGAGGAATGAATGGGTGCTCTTAGATATGCAAACTCCTCACTGCTCCCAGGTAGGCTCAGATGCAGGCACCCCCTGAAACTGAATGGGGCATGTGACACAGGTACAAAAAAGCTGCCACTTGTGAGAACCAGGGGAAGAGGTGGGCCAGGAGACTTTTCTCTGCCTGCATGCTTTCCCTCAATACTCTCCCACTTTCCACCATCTCTGCTTATCAAAACTTGACCTGTTTTGCATGGACAAAAGTCACATTATTTTAAGTTTCTGTAGCTGTGTGTCATTCCTATGGATAACATATGCTTTTGCTCTAACCTCTCTTATCAGATGGTGAACATCTTGAGAGCAGGGGCTCTTCCAACCTCTGAATATGAACACAGAAGGTAAGCACTACCTGGATGTGAGCAGGCAGTGTCCCCAGCCCCTCTCCTGGTATGGGGTGGGGATTTGGCCACCACATGGTTCAGGAGTGGATCGCAGCAGCCTGTTGTGACTCTCCTGGTCCCAGGTGCTGTTGTCCCTCTGCAGGTGAAGTCTTCATTGTACTTTGGAACTCTACAGCCACACTAGCAAGTTCTCTTTCTGAATGGACAACCTCTTCCCAAACTGTGAGGGGGGAATTGGGACACCTGGGCAACCTAGGACCCAGGTAGATCTGTGGATGGTCACCTCCTGCACAGCAGTTGGTGCAGGCCATGAGGAATTCCTATGCAGCCTACACCTGGACATGGCCAGATCTCTGCTGCTGGCTTTGCCAGCCTATGTTCTGCTGTGACCCACTTTGTACATGCTCCTCTCACCCGTTCTGGTCAGAACCTTACAGCCTAAGTCAAAATATGACCACTTCCATGCTTGAATGACTTAAAACTGACCTCTCCCTTCTCTGATTTCCTACTGCCGTCCATACAGCCAGGCTCTTGGGTATATTTCAAGCAATTCTGATGTTTCTTCATTTATTCCTTCTTTCATGAGCATCTAGAACACATGCATCATGATCCGGCCTAACCCACAGCATCCAGTGCTCAGTGGCCAACCGAATGACAGAGATGAAGCAAAGGCTGTGGGAGAGAGATCACAATCCCTGCCTTCAAAGTTCTCACAGTCTAAAGAAAGCCATGTGAGAACATGACGGTCACACAGTATGGCAAGGAGAATATTAGAATGGAGCACAGAAAGGTCCCAGCTCCACCTAGTCCTGCCTATCTGTTGGGGAAGGCTTTGCAGTAGGGCAGTACACTGACATTTCCATTGAAGATGGAAACACGATTAGGGGACACATGGAGGACACTCCAGGCTAAAGGACCTGTGGGGACAAAAGCAATGAAACAAAGATGTGTGAGGACCTGCAGCTTGTTCTGATTGGTTGAAGTCTTCTAGAGTGTTCTCAACCAACAGTGCTGATGAGAAACAAAGATGGAGGGGAGCTTGGGAAAGATTACAGGGGGCTTTATAAAGCTCGCTACTGAGTTCAGACTTGGTCTTGCAGGCAAAGAGGAGCTCCTGGAGTATTTGCAGCTGAAGACTTTGACTTCAAGATCTTTGCTCTCTCACCTCTGAGGACAACTAGCCACTGCTTACTCAGGGAGGGCAGGCTTGGAGGCCAACACTTGCCCAACTGGGGCTGGTGCACTAGTGAGGGAGTTGGGCGGTGTGGGAAGAGGCCCAGCCCTTCCTTCCATATTTCAGACTGAGCTCACTTGTGAAGGAAATTGATAATGGGAATATATCTCCCTCCCACCATGAGAATCCCTGTTAGCTGTGGACAGCCAGACTCGTAAGCCTCTGTCATGGTCCCCAGTTGGGCTTGAAGCAAGGAAAGAAAACAATGATGAGCAAAATCATTAATGAGGATGAAACTTTATTTCATTATTCCTTATTTAAAACATACCTACTTTGATTTGTTCTCAAAAGAGACACCTTTCTCCTTAGGAGTACTGGCCCCAAAGTACATTCAAGAGTAAACTATTTTTGTGCCAACTCTTTTATGTGTGTATTGATCTTAAATATGTCTGCAAAGTATTTTTTAGAAAGATTCATAAAATAGTAATGAGAACAAAAAAATTTCCTATTTCCTTAAAAATCAGGACAATTACAATCAGAGAGATTAATAAACAGTAAGTCCAAAACTCAAAATAAGCTAAATTTCTCATGTACTATCCCAAGTGTGGTATTTTATTAGGTAAAAACAAACAAAAACAAAACAAAAGAATCACAAAAAGAAAGAAGTACAAGAAGCTACTAGTTTCTTAAATGATGAGACATTGATAGAATAATGGGTGACTTTCTTTTTACCATAATCAATATAAAAAAAAAGAAATCAATTTAATAATATATTTTTATCTTGAAATCTTTTAATGTGAATGAACTCATTCTTTTTATTTTCTATTTCCTTACAGTAGACATAGGCATTGTTATTGTTTCTCATTTTTAATGAGAGCTCTAAATGTTTACTTATATGCGTATATATATTAATCACATTACTTTTAAATGACTAAGTGCTTACAAGGGGCACTTCATATTTGAAAAGGACTCTCGGGGTTAATAAAGGAGGATACATTACAACCTCTCCTGTGTTTTCATGTGTGCCTATATTGAGATAATGCAAAGCAAGTGCCTAAACCCAAATTACACAGTCATTGTCTTAGATGTTTTCATCCTAAATGAAAGCCATACATATCTCTTCAGAGGTGCAAAGGAATGAACAAACATACATACTTCACTTATTGCAACAGACTGAAGTTGCTTCTATAAAGGAGCTGTGCTTTTCGTGTAAGAGATAAGAATATCAATCATTTGCAAGAAGGACAAGAGTAGGGCTGGTGAAATTCAAGTTAAAACAAGAATAAAGAGCCCTGATATAAGTATTATCAAAATGGGAAATCAGGCATCAAAAATGATCAAGGCATGAAGTCCTTGTGTGGAGATGCCTGCAATCTCCTTCTCATTTTCTTTTTTCTTGTTTTGGCTCCAGCCCAATGGAGAGCCATACAACCCCAAGACAGTGATCACCACTGACTGCAGTCCTTGTGGTGGGAAGGAGGCAGATTCACAGGGATTCTTTGGGAAATGGACATATTTGTGTTGGGGTGGTGGAAATGAACCTCAGATGATTCTGATCCATCCCCATGGCTTGCCCTCATTACCCTGGAGGGATGCTTCTGCTCCCCTCTCACATGCCCTATTCTAAGTCTACTGAAAATACAAATGGCCTGATTTCATTCTGAAGGAAGGAGTGGCCTGTCTGAGCCAAACAACTCATTTGAGACAGGACACAAAGTCACAGTCTCCAGCGGTGTCTGGAGATTCTCTAAGAGAAACAAGTTCCTTCATGGGACTACCCAGTGATTTTCGTGTCTTTAAACAATCATAGACATCGTTTCTTTGGAAAAGAGCTAAGAAGCAAGTGGAAAAACAAAAGTAGACAATAGAAACACTGAGCAGAAGAGAGAAAGGAGGCTCCGAGCTCGGCTTGCTCTGGTTCTGGCTCTGGCTACTCGCCATACCACAGAGATGTCAAAGACACAAAGGCACATAAGCAGAAAGTGGCCTAAAGCAAGCAGCCTTCTCTGTGAAGGAGTGTTTAGCTCTTTGAGTCCACTCCACCAGAACAAAGCAGTGGGTAATCTCACCAATTTTACACAGCAATTCACAGTCCCCAAAGGACTTTAATGCAATGACAGGTTATGAGAAAAAATATCTGTTCCAATGAAGGAAAAGTGTTTTACATAATCAAGAAGAACATCAGTGCCACGTTGGTGGAGGTGGGGGGCGATGACAGAAAAGGAAGTGGAGGAGAAGAAAACTTCAGTAATCCCACCGAGAGCCATATTCTACTCTGCAAAAAGCCATCTCCTGGAGACCCCATGTCTAAGTAACTGAAAATTGCAAACCATTAATCCCAGTTATGAACAGTTGTTTTACACAAGGGGGGTTTGTGTTTAAAAAAAAAAATCAAACCCACAATACACCTTAAAGCTTAAAAGAAGATCCATCTAGGTATGATGCCTTAATAGCCAGGTTTCAAAAATACTTTCTCTACTGTAAAGAGTCCCATTTGGAAGCAGTGCGCTCTCTCCTTTTTTTTTTTTTTCTCTGTAAATGCAAAATTAAACTTAGAAAGCTAAAAAACAGATGAGGGCCTTAAAAATTCCCTTCTAGCACTATGTATTTCTTTTAAAATATGAGATGCCTTCCATTTTACAAGGCTGGAATTCTCATTTTGCGTTTGGCATGCTAACAAATGATTAATTCAGCCTTCTCCTTTCTGAGAGTTGACCACATTTGCTGGTCAAACGGTTTAATCCTATTTTAAATACAATCCAAGAAAAATATTTTTAAATAAAAATAAAACCCACAATCCTCTGAAACTGTTCACCTTGCAATCATAAAGGGATGCAATTTTCCTGCAATCTTGACGGACACTTGAATTTTTGCACCTAGAACAATGATGAAGTTAAGCCTTGGAGGAAAGCCAGTGAGGGACTCTACCTTCGTAGGAATGAAAAATTAAATTTCCACCTTTAAAAGTTGTGCCTGCGGATCACCCTGACTTTTCCAATTCCCTGGCAGGGATCCTGTCTTGTCTGTGCATTGTAACTTTCTGCTGGCATTGACGAAATGTTAAGTGGCAAAGGTAATACAAATAAAAACAGCGTGTGAATGGGAGTTTTGTGAAATCTGTTGATTCAAAGATATTAATCTTTTTTTTTAATCATGACTTGTCTATTTATAGTCTTTTGTTTCAAATAAATTCTGACAAGCTCTTAAAACTAGGGAAAAAAGGAGCTAGCATGCTATTTTAAAAAGGAATTTAACAAAAAAAGAGAAAATAACAAGCTTTTCACTAATTCACTGTGCCATTAGAATTTAAACTGTGGTTATATTCCATTTAAAT